AAGACATCCAAATGCCAAATAAGGCTTTTGTCTCTTTAGCTCCCACATCCGCCTGAGAGGGGCAACTTCAGAACAAAGCACTCAGGTTTCACTCATATGTAGTAAATGTTGTGGCTGAAATCAAAGTTCTATGCTGAAAACAGAATTTTCATTTTTATCTTGCTGCTATGCACAATGATCTGAATCAAATCAATTTGAAGAAACATGATTGCACAGACGTGTCAATCACTGAGCAAAATAAGAACATGCAGCTTTGTGCTGAAAACATATATGTTTCCAACGCAGTATTTCTGCTATCAACAGAGACACTCAGACACTGGTATATCCACACAGAGTCGGCACTGCCCACTATTTGCATGGCAGTTAACACACTTTATGTTATAGTAGAGATGAACGACTGAAGATCCCATTTTGCCAAAAACTCACAATTGCTTTGAACACCAGACTTTCCTGCTCTTGCTTCAACAGGCAAATGGACATATATGAATGGGATCATGTAGTTAGTCAGTCTAGACACAAATCTGAATTCCCCGTGATTGTGTCGAGTGGCAACCTCTGGTGTTGAAGAATTTAGCAAAGTTAGAAGTGCAAAAGCCTGCAGTTCCTTGAGTGTCCACTTGCGGCTGGATGCAGAACTCCCATGATTCCCCACCAGCCTGGACGTCATCCTTTTGTTATCGTTTTGATTGAGAGCCCCGTGGCGGCAGAATGTACATACTGTGCGTTTAAGACCCGTCCTCAGCTCCAGATCTTTGCCCCGTTTTTAAGTTCTCCGATGGATAGTTTGAGTCAGCATTTCCAAAAAAGGCTCTTTGGATTTGGATTTTGTACACCTGTCACTAAAGACCCACATTTAAATGAACAATGACTTGTGTTTTACCACAGGGAAATAAAACTGGACCTGGTCATAAAAATGAATAAAGAAAATCCCTTTGACATCTTTCGAACAAGAAACCACAGCAGGAGCTGAAGAAGGCAACAAGTTAAAACAGCTAGCCAATACTGATGTAAATATTCAAACTTTAAAAGGGTTTTCAAATTCACCTTTCTGAACAAGTTTAAACTTCAAGGACAAACAATGTGTTTTTGTTTAGAAATACTGACCACCAAAATAATCGTTAAAAGTAGGTGAAGAAACTGCTTACATTTTAAGTGTGCTGGTTAGACTGCTACTTAAAATTTCAAATAGGGATTTAGCAAAATGTGACTATTGTACTATTTTCTGTCATTCTCAAACGATCAAGTGAGGAAATACTCATCAGATTTATGGCTAACAAAAGTAATACTACAAAACAGCTACTGAATGTTTGCTGATTCATCTTAAGTCTAAAAAAAATGTTTTTATTTTCACACTGACATGCTGAAATCAGTCAAACTCGGAGCCTGTGCTATGATTCTACCCAGCATGTTTAATTTGATCATGCCCACATATGAATCTGTCTATTGATTCTGGCATGCTGTGTTGGAGCCAGGATCAGTGAGGAAACTAGCCCTGGCTGCCTCTCAAGGTGTGCTATTGTACCCCACATGATAAACAGATGCAGCTGTCATCCCCACATTTTTCCAGCGCACGCCTTACTGCCCTTCCCTCACTGGCACCTAAGGAAGCCGGAGCGCTCTAGTCAAAGTGGCTAAAAATGGAAAGACAGTGCTGAGGAAGGAGAGGAAAGTCTTTGTCGCTGATAACAAACCCCACATCAATTTTATTTGGACAATTTGACATTTATGTAGAGACACTTTGAGGAGAATCTGAATGTTTCTTGCAATTAATTCTCATACAGTAACAACCACTCACAGCCAACAACTTCAGTGGAAGAGGAGTATGATTTCATGCAGAGACTACGGCATGAAACACGTGCAGATACTAGATAGACAATTAAATAGGGTATTGTTAAATGAAAAGGCCAACTGCACCATGACTTTACAGTTTTATGCTTTTAGCTGGCTGATTTAATAATGACCATACCCGACCAATAAGGACCTAAATAAATGTACTTTGTGAGGCAGTTATTCTGCTTGAACACATGTCACACACAATGAGTGATGTGCAGTGTTTACATTTTTACGTTGAATAATATTAAACTAAAACTAAACCCTATTTTTGTCAAGCACTGTATGCTGTATATAGGATTTGATTTGATAAATTATACCGTATATTACAATGACAACAGTTGGACTAATCTATGCTCCGGAAATAAGGTGCAAAAATAAAATCCCAAACTATTTAAAATATATAGTTTTAAAGTAATGTTAAAAATGCAGCCTAGATATTCCTCTTTCTCAGTTGTATTTCTTATTAAAGTGTAAATGCTTTATATTTGGGGTATGGACTAATCTTTAAAGACACTAAAAAGATCCATGTGAAACTGGGATGGACACTTTTTTATTTATCAATAAAAGACAACATATTCCAGGAAATCATCTTCATCCAAATCGGTAATGAAAACATTTTTTAGTCAACTTAATGTCAACTCTGATTTCTGACAGGTGAATATTTAAAGGCTAAAGGTGACTCAAGATGACAAGCAGATAATGAAATGTTTGAATACTGCTAGAAACAATTCTTTTTTGCTCCTCGCTATGTTGATAAGCCCCAAAAATAAAGCTTTTTAAGTTAAAAAAAAAAGTGACTCTTGCTCTTTCCTAACCATGTCGGTCACAGCGCATGTAGGCTGCAGGCTGAAGACAAACACGGACAGATGTGGTTGACTCGGTCGGTTCAGAGCTGGCAGCCTCTGAAGGCTGTCAGCTTCCGCACATAGTGCTCGACCACAACGACTCGCAAACGGAGAGAAAACACCAGCAGCTCAGGCGTCACGCAGGATCCGTACAAATGCCGGGAGACTGATCTGTCTGTGTTTCCGTACAACGCAGCCCAGACACAAGGAAGAGACCTCAGTGTAACTGTACAGGACGGATCTATTAAGGAGAGCTGACTGTCGACGACGAGATGTTTATCATATCAGTATAACGAATAGACATCTTATAACAAACGGATTTTTATGATATGAATTAATACCACAGTATTTTCAAACTACGTCAGCTGGTTCCATAGTGTAGCGGTTATCACGTCTGCTTTACACGCAGAAGGTCCTGGGTTCGAGCCCCAGTGGAACCAAGTCTTTTTTTTTTTTGCCCATTAAATCTTAATATCTTACAGAAAACAAATCCTAGTCATAGAAAGGACCTTCATGTATCACCACCAAAACGAAATAGGCTACATATTTGGTAAAGGTTGTAGTTTCATGTTTCTCATGGTAGGTATTGTCTGAAGTAATATAATTTTAAAGGATGTGATTTTTCACATAATCAATCAATCTATAAATCATTATTTGTATAGCGCCAATTCATTCAGTGTTATCTCAAAACATAATGGTTACTTTGGATAACCAGACATTATTGAAGGAGTAGTCTGCAAGTAGTGGACTACAATTTATTTACTTTTTTTTTTTCTCTCACTATCTTTATTACAAAATTACCCAGACAAATACTATTTAAAATTTTAATAAACCGGATTCTGACGTTAAGCAAACCCATTTACAACCCCTTAAACAGCTTATAATAATACAGTACAAAAGCCCTACCACAAAGTTTGATATAAAAATATGGACGAAACAACACTCTTTGTGAAATATAAGTTATATATTGGATTGCAATAAGATGAAATATTCTCACTGTTTTCCACGACACAGTTAATAGATTAATTTGATGAGTTGATCAACAAAACATGAATCTGTCAACAGGTCTACAAGTTATGCACCATTTATATAAAGTGAAAAGTGTCTCACAGTCATAGACACAATTTGAATGAGTTATAACTTTAGTTATGTTTCGCACTACCTGCTGTTATCACAATATCAAGAAATGATGCATATTTTTCATATATCATGCAGGCTTTAAACCTATGCATTGCTGAACTACTACTGGTAAAATCAATGATGTGCCATGGTGCAAAACCTCACATCTCAACTTCTTGTAAGCCCAAATCTATCATTCATGTAACATTAATATTTCTGAGATTGTGATTTTGTTAGCATAACCCAAACTACTGTCTCTAACAGAGTCTGAATAATAGTTGGGTCCCATGTTTTTTGTTTTTTTTTCCCAGTCAAACAAAAACAACCAACTAACCAAGAGTCCTGCAGAAGAAACAACTAGCAGGTACCCAGAACAAAGCCTATTAGAAAAGTCATGCTTAATACTGTTTCTTATGGATGTATCAACAAAAAAAATGCAGTTTTTTTTAACACTTAACCAATGTTAACATACAACTAAACAAAACCATATCCAAAAAGTCATTTGAAGACAACACAATCATGCCTTTAACAATTAACAGGTGTGTCCAAGTGAAGCTAAGACATCATTATCTGATGTCTGCTTCACTGAATGCACTGACAATGTAGCACTAAAAATACATGGATAACCACTTCTTAAATCAAATGTGACATTAATGACCTCTTTACTTTAAGTCACTGGTTACAAACACGTGTGTTTCAGCAAGCTTTAGCAGTCGTATGCCGAGTAATGATAACACATTTTAATGTTGTGTTAATAACACTGTGAGCCTCCAAACACATAAGTAATTAAGAGTTACTTACCAGGACTTCTGTTGTTGACAAATTGAGTCTTTGGCAACATATTGAACAAGTTTATTAACTTGTTTGACCTGCTAATAACCAGGTTCTAGCATTCCTAAAAAAAAAATTAAAAAAAATAAAATAAAGAAAAGGAAAGTAAGCTAGTTTGGCTGATTTAACAACGTTTACACCGGGGGAACAGCGCCACCTATTTCCTGTCAAATTTAAACAACTTGTCTGATCTTCATCGAAACCCGCTTCCATTAATTACATTTACAACTATTAATTATTATAATATACTTGATATTAAAGCGACAACATATGTATTAACTATGAGTTAAGAGAAGATGGCAGTACCCGGTGTTTGAATGTGGCACATTTACCGGCACACGGATCTTGTGTCTTTTTGTAGTTTCCTGGTGTCACAAACATTTGTGTCCCCCCCCAAAAAAAAATGGCGAACGTAGCTGCCGCTGCGGCTGCAGCCGCCGCCGCCGCTGCCGCCGCTGCAAACAGAGACCCAGCCGTCGATCGCTCATTACGGTCGGTGTTTGGTAAGTTCGGTCACCGTTGTTTGTTCGGTTACCCGGTGTTTTATGACCCGTGTTGTTTTTGTTATAAGGCGCTAACATCCTGCTAGTGTTCCCGTTAGCTAGACAACGAGGGAGCAAAACTTAACCTGAGTGCCGCGAAAACATCGAGTGAGAGAGAGTTCATTTAATCTTTGTCGTGTTAACATTTCTCATTATTTGTTAGTGGGGAATATTCCTTACGAGGCCACTGAAGAACAGCTGAAAGACATCTTTTCTGAAGTCGGGCTTGTTGTCAGCTTCAGGTGAGTGAAAGACTTTCCATTCATTTTGTTTATGTGAAGTTAGAAAAACACAAGATGCTCCAGTCATGTTTTATCTCTTTCTCATCGTGTTTTCACGCCACACTCTCTCCTTTTTCACAATGAAAGCTTGTAAATCTATCTTTTCTGTTCTCTATTTCTTTGTAAATTTTTGTTTGAACTTTTCTGTGCCCGTCTTGTTTTCAGGTTAGTGTATGATCGGGAGACCGGGAAGCCAAAGGGATATGGCTTCTGTGAATATCAAGACCAGGAGACAGCCCTCAGTGCCATGCGGAACCTGAACGGGAGAGAGTTCAGTGGTCGAGCTCTCCGTGTTGACAACGCAGCCAGCGAGAAAAACAAGGAAGAGCTTAAAAGTGAGGGCTTATTCCCTCTGGATGTCAATTCCAAATAGGGTGTTTATCTGATTTGATTGAAAGGTGTCGGTGCAAAAGCAGCTGTTTTCTGATGTTCTTTCTCTCACAGGTTTGGGAACTGGAGCTCCTATTATCGAGTCTCCTTATGGAGACACATCCAGCCACAGGAGGCCCCCGAGTCCATCAGCAGAGCCGTGGCCAGTCTGCCTCCTGAGCAGATGTTTGAGCTGATGAAACAGATGAAGGTAGGCTAGTTGAATGCCTCAGGTTTTTTTTTTTTTTTTAATCTAACAAGCCGCTATTTCAGACCCGGACGGAAACAGAATCATCCTAGAATGTTCTGATGAACTCCTTAACCGTTCTTTACTGTTTAAGAAAGGTCGAAAACCAATTGGTCCTGTCAGTCAGTGCCAAAGGAATTCGGTCTCTTTGGAAAAAAAAAAAAATGTGCGTAGAATCCGTAGCAGATGAATGAAAAAAGGTAGAAAAGACAAAAAAAAAGAAAAAAGTCTGACGTCAAAACTAATTCAGATCTACAAAACTACGCAATACCTGTTCCCGTTTGAAATCCCGATCCACCTGGAAACGTGTGCATGTGGATCAGCATCATTATTTATTTAAATATAATTATTATTTTTTTATGTTATTGATTCAACAGTTTCTGTCCTTTTTGGCAAATACTTCATAGATGTCACTTAAAGGTTGAATCAGAGTTCTGAAATAATATTCAAAGAAACAGTGCAGATAAAAGCATTCGTCTTAAGTGGAGCTTGTTTTTACATTTTTAGATCATACATGTTCTTGTTTTATTTTCGGAGTTCTGATGACAAAAAAACAGTTGTTGGATGTGTACAGTCACGTGTAATGAATCAGTCCCTGAAACTGGTGCATCAATGGAAGATATGCATGCAGATGAGTTTATGCACCGGTCTTTTAAAAGGTAAATGAACATGAGCTTGTGTAGCACTTAACCAGTCTTGTGACTACTCAAAGTGCTTTTACACTGCAGGTCACACCTACACATTCACACACTGATGGCAGAGGTTGCTATGCAACGTGACCGTCAGAAGTAACTAATCCCATATTCATACGCATTCATACACCCACGCAGAAGCAGTGGGAGCAACTTGGGGTTTGGTGTCTTGCTCAAGGACACATCAGACGTGTTCTGCTTGTGCAACGGTACAATTCTAACTGAACGCAGCATTTCGATTTAGGGACGTGGTTGCTGCTTTAAAGGCAGCCACAATAACAAACATACTTGTTTTCAGCTTTAACATTTCAAATAGAATTTAAAAAAAGCATCAAAGCAAAACTTAAGACCAATAAAACAAATACCACTATTAAGTCATTATATTCAACAAGGATGTTTTGGAGTTTGTCCCGTTGGTCATGATCTCACACTTTATGTTCAATTCTTCTTTTATCTTTTTAAAACTCCATATACATTTCTCTTTAACTTCCTGGACATGATCTGTATGAAGATCGTCCTTCTTTCCTTTCATTAACAGAGAGGCTACAGTCTGTCTCTCTGTCCTGCTAAAGAAGCCTCATCTCTGCACATCTGGCTGTTTGCTTCATTAGGCTCAAAGAAACACCACACTGCAGACGTTTCCTCCCGACTGGAGGAGTGCTTTGTTGCACCAAAGCTGTTTTCAATACGACAGCTCCATATGATGCTGCAGATATCCTTGCATGCCTTTTATTTGAATGTTTTGTGCAGATGGTTTGTTATGTTTCTGGGGAGTATAATCTACGACGCTAACGAGCTCTTTTGATGTAAATTATCTAAGAGTTTTTCCTTTTGCACTGCTTGCTTGTAAAAGACATGCATCAAATTTCTGATATGATTTTCTCTCTGTCCAGCTATGTGTGCAGAACAGTCCCCAGGAGGCGAGGAACATGCTGCTGCAGAACCCTCAGCTGGCCTATGCTCTTCTTCAAGCCCAAGTGGTCATGAGGATCGTGGACCCCGAGATAGCCTTGGTAAGAGAACAGTAGCTGAACCGAACATCATTTTGTATTTATTTTTGTACTGGGACCTTGTGATAAGTTAGAGAACCTGAAAGCTAGTTTGCACCATTAACCAGCATGTACATTTAAGTGATGATTTTCTGTGTGCTCCTCTTCAGAAAATGCTCCATCGTCAAACTGCAGTTCAGCCTCTGATTCCTGCCGGGCAGGGCGGAGGAGCACCACCCGCCAATCCTCCTGCTGCGCCGCCCAGCTTGCCTGTGTCTCAGCCTCCGCCTGGGGTAGGTGGAACAATCTTTCACTCTCTAAAGCTGAACATTGCCTCTCTATCCAGTAAAATCGCCCTGAAATAAGATGCAATGTTGCAGCTCTGATGCAGGCCATGAATATTGATGCAAACAATGTCTGCAATGCTACTCTTATAACCTGGCTGAAAGGTCAGTGTGAATTAGTGTATCTTGAGGACTGCAATTAAAAAGGAATATGAGATTGTGTGTAATATGTCTTTAGATTACATACTGAATGTTAAATTCCTTAATTTCAAACCCATCATGTCTCAATCCTCTCATTCATCTCAATTTCCCTAAAAATGAAATGAGCGGGTAAAATCACTTAAATGAGTAAATGATGAAGAAAACATCTTTATGTACAGTCATGCTCCTAAGTTTACATACCCTGGCAGAATTTGTGATATATTTATTTTTTGGTCATTTTTCAGAGAATATGAATGATAATACAAAACCTTTTCTTTCACTCATGGTTAGTGGTTGGGTGAAGCCATTTATGATCAAACAATTGTGTTTGCTCTTTTTAAATCATAATGACAACAGAAACTATCCAAATGACACTCGTCAATAGTTTACATACCCTAGTTCTGACTACCGTGTATTGCCCTCTTTGACATCAGTTGCAGCTTGAAGTCTTTTGTGGTAGTTGTGGATGAGGCACTTGATTTTCTCAGATGGTAAAGCTGCCCATTGTTCTTGGCAAAAAGCCTCCAGTTCCTGTAAATTCTTGGGCTGTCTTACATGAACTGCACGTTTGAGATCTCCCCAAAGTGGCTCAATGATATTGAGGTCAGGAGACTGAGATGGCCACTCCAGAAACTTAACTTCTTTCTGCTGTAGCCAATGACATGTCGACTTGGCCTTGTGTTTTGGATCATTGTCATGTTGGAACTTCCAAGTACGTCCCATGCTCATCTTCCGGGCTGATGAGCGCAAATTTTCCTCCAGTATTTTCTGATAACATGCTGCATTCTTCTTGCCATCACTTTTGACCTAGTTCCCTGTGCCTTTGTAGCTCACACATCCCCAAAACATCAGCGATCCACCTCCGTGTTTCACAGTAGGAATGGTGTGCTTTTCACCATAGGCCTTGTTGACTCCTCTCCAAATGTAGCGTTTATGGTTGTGGCCAAAAGTTCCATTTTGGTCTCATCACTCCAAATAACTTTGTACCAGAATTTTTGAGGCTTGTCTCTGTGCTGTTTGGCGTATTGTAAGCGGGCTGCTTTGTGGCATTGGCGTAGTAATGGCTTTCTTCTGGCGACTCGACAATGCAGCCCATTTTTCTACAAGTGCCTCCTTATTGTGCATCTTGAAACAGCCACACCACTTTTTTTTCCAGAGAGTCCTGTATGTCAGCTGAAGTTATTTGTGGGTTTTCTTTGCATCCCGAACAATTTTCCTGGCAGTTGTGGCTGAAATTTTTGTTGGTCTACCTGACCGTGGCTTGGTTTCAACAGAATCCCTAATTTTCCACTTCCTAATTAGAGTTTGAACACTGCTAATTGGCATTCTCAAATCCTTGGATATCTTTTTATATCCTTTCCCTGTTTTGTAAAGTTCAACTACCTTCTCCCGCAGATCCTTTGATAATTCTTTTGCTTTCCCCATGCCTCGGAATGCAGCAACGTCAGTGCAGCACTGGATGAAACATGCACTCACTGACTTTTTATACACACACACTGATTACAAGCAAACGGATCACAGGCGAGGCAGGTTACCTTCAGTAGCCATTTAGACCCGTGTGTGTCAACTTGTGTGTATGTTATCTGGCCAAAACCTCAGGGTATGTAAACTTTTGATCAGGGTAATTTGGGTAGTTTCTGTTGTCATTATGATTTAAAAAGGGCGAACACAATTGTTTGATCATAAATGGTTTCACCCAACCACTAACCATGAGTGAAAGAAACATTTTTGTACTATCATTCATATTCTCTGAAAAATGACCAAAAAAACACAAATTCTGCCAGGGTATGTAAACTCATGAGCACAACTGTATCTCACTGGCGTAAGATTAAATCATATTAGCTCATCTTGATGACCAAAGATGAGCTCTTAAAATGTGCTCTCCAAACTCGTATTTAGGTTGAAATCCTAATTCATCTTTCATTTCATTAGCCTGGAATGCACGTCAATGGAGCCCCTCAAATGATGCAGCCCCCCAGCATGGGTGTCGCCCCAGGACCAATGCCTGTACCGGGACCTGGACCCGGACCAGTGCAAGGACCAGGACCTGTGGGACCTCCAGGTAATCATCAAACTGCATGCATTCTTACATCTCAAGAGTGAACATCTTTAATGTTCATCATATCAATATTTAAGATCATTGATGGTAACATCATCAGCGCCCCCCCCCCCCCCCGGCAGGATTAACTAATCTGATCACAAACTGTATAACTAAATGTATTTCACATTTTAGTTTTAAAAGATTGCATGTATTCTTCAAGTGTCAAACCAGCCTAAGCAACACATGAGCATTCCCGAGCTTGTGTTGCCACACTTTGATGGCGGTGGTGAGAATAGCATTCAAGCTGATATATTTCTACAAGTGAATAAGTGATGAATCACAATCATTCATGAATCAGAAGCAAAAATAGACTACATTTACCCGCGATCTATGATGGTGACACAGAAAATAGATTTGTGTGGAAAACAACAAACATTAAGGGACCTCCTAGATACCACGCATCATGTTTTCACATCTTATTAAGAGGAGCTAGTTTCTCTCATAGTTGACGTCCTATTTGCCTTCTTTTCTTACTCATAAGATGAGCAAAGTTTTGAATGAGAATAAGAAAATGAATGCTGTTTCTTTTCTCTTTTTTTGTCAAATTGAGCCTGTTTCAGTTATATTTGAAAGCAGTGAAACATTTCATTTTACCTCAGTGTAAAAATGATTAAAAGTAATGCGTATTAATTTGTTGATGACTTTCTCAGTGGCAAACCTAAAACAAATGCAGCCTTTAGGCTTCCTTAATAAACTGACATGTGTAAAATATTCAGTTTTCCTACTTTAAATGCCTTTAAGTGTATCCTTAGTTTATTTTTAAGCTTGAGCACATGCCATGGCTCACTTGAATCACTAGGTGTCACCACAGCCTTGTAATTAGAGGAGGTGCTGTATGAGCGGCCCATTGTAATCGACTCCCCTGCAGCAGCCTCTGCCTCAATGTTTATGTATGTCTGTGTGTCTTCATCATACTGTAGTATTTACTAATGTCCGGTTTCTCAAAGTTCCCTCTTCACCCCTCTGTGTGTGTCTGTATGTGTGCATGTCACTGGCAAGCTTCAAACTGCTGTTAAAGTGCTGCTTTGCTCTCTTGAGTCTTGTGTCTCCTGTTCTCTTCACTTTAATGCTGGCTCAGGAAACCTTCAGCATTCTCCCACAGGAGCGTCTGGGCCAGCTGCTATCGAGCGGCCTCAAGGTATCACTGTACTCCTTCAGTTCTCCAGTCAGGTCATAGAAGTGCTATGGAGAGGTCACAGTCCAAGTGTATAATACCTCAGGGGTTAGGTTTTAGCACACTACAGTTTGGTAAACTGCACGTCCACTGTCGGGGAAAAAAAGACCTTTACACATTCAGCTGTTACGTTATTAGTTATTAGGCTTGTTTGTATGATTAAAAACTGATCTGTGATCATTATCTTAACAAAAGCAGAGTGTGATCGGTCATGAGGGTGGGAGGGTGGTGGTGAACCTGCATGTGAACAGATTTGGTTTTGGGGCAGCTGCCAAGAGTCAAAGTATTTTTTGCATGATTACTTTAAGCCCTGAACCAGATAGAGGGATGGAGGAAATAACCGAGAGACGCTGGTGGAGACAAACAAAACAGGGCGACAACAACAGAAGATAATAGAGACTGATGGCTACAGTGTCAGTGATAATGGTAGAATAAGTGCAAAATTAGCAGGGGATTAGTTGCGCTGACTATTATAATAGTGATTATATAAGTAAGAGTGATATTGAGAAGTGTAGAAGATGGAGTCAGGCAGTTCCACATCAGCTAGCTGTCTGCATCAACCAAAGGGAACTACAAGACAGGGGAGCTGAATTTCCCAGGAAGCGAAGTGGTTAGTGAAGTTAACGGGATGCGAGGATTTAAAGGTAGATGTGTGACATGAATGCATACATATGTTCACATGTTCACAGGAAGTGTAATGACGCTGTTTGTCTTTAGAAGAACACAGTTGTAGGATCCATCAAAGAAGAATTTTTTTAAGACGAAATTACCCAAACTGGCTTGATACACTTAGCGTGCTAAACTTTTATATGTGCGAAATGCACACTGTTTCATGATAATGTACCATTGTAAGAATATTTTGCACGTTTAAGTCAAAGCTAGGGAACAATAATACAAATTCAGCGGATGCCAGAATTGAAACAATGCAGGCTTGTCTCCTGCTGCGGTTGGACTGCATTGTTAAGCCTGATGGCTGCCAATAGAAAATGCATGCGTGAAACACTCGCATGTTACACTTTTAGATGGTGGGAGGGCACACCTGGCTGTCACTCCAAAGCATGTTGATTGTCTCATGTCAAGCAGCACTGTGTGACTACAAGTGCAGGTGCGACTGAGTCAGTCGTTGGAAACCTGACAAGTTTTTTAGACCTTTAATAACTTGGTTCACCTCACATGGCTGTTTTAGAAGTAAAAATTAATCCACAAACGTTTCTTCAAATGTGGAGAAACCACTAACATTATCCATGCAGACAGGTGCAATTGTTTATGGGTTGTGCTGTCAGCGTGACCTTTTGGATGTACCGTCAATGCACTTCCTGGCACCGTCTAGTCACTATTTTGACTCCGTGGTTGGGCTGTGTGTATAATTCCTTATTTCATTGTTATAGCCATATGAACATGGGGGAAAAAAACACATTGCATATGTCGGGATTTTTCTAAATGAATAAGAAAGATTCATTAATGTGAACAAATAATACTCTCTCGCTTAGCTTGTGTATATTTTACCCATGAAGCTCAAACTGGCTGTCAGCTACCCTCAGATCAACAGGGGGCAATTAAATGGTGGAACAAAAGCGATTTGGATTCAGGAAGGACACGTTGCAAACAAAAGCAGGTTGTGTAAAACATGAACAGCAGGTAGACATTGAAACTGAGGGTTATTGCAAATGTGAACCATCTAACATTTATTGATTTATTGCACTTCTTTTGGTATTGTTAAATTATGAACTTAATTTCTCACTTCGTGCGCTCCGACTGGGTTTACTCTGCAGACTGCTATTTGTAGTTTCAGGAAGTCTGTGAGAGACTACAGGACATCACCAGGATGTAACATGTTGGCAGATGTTGTGGTGGATGCACTTTTTTCCCCCCTAATAAAGGCCTTTTCATTCTCATATACACTGTTAATGTGCCTTTTTTTTTTAGCCATGGTGTTGTTGCCAAGGCAGTGGGCAAATTGAGGCAGTCATCCATGGGCGAATACTTGTGTGCAGACATCACAGTCTACTGCACCTGACGAAATTCAACATTGCCTTCAGTTTGTCAGCAAATTAAAATGAGATGTATTGTTTGGAAATGTGAAAATGCAGGTATTAATATTCATACCTGGTAGGTTTTCAAAGATCTCCCACTCCTGCTCTGCATCATCAGTACAACATCATTTTATTTCAGCATGCAGGATTTGGCTTAAAAAAAAAAAAAAGCCCACCAGGAAAAGGAAAACGACTATAATGTCGAGTAAAATAGAAAATTAGACGTCGAAATTAAAACGAGAGGTTGCTGCTTCTATCTTTCAGCTTTTTCAGTTTTAGTTGCAGCGATGTGATTAGTCATGATGTTGTCAGTAGAGATAAAGTTGCTACTACTCTCTGTTTATTAAAAAAAAGGCCTTGTTCAGACTGCAGATTTGTCCGAGATGTTTCTCAATCCGAACCTTCAGCACCACCGACTGTGCTCTGGTATGACAAGTGATTTAATCCCATATACGTGTCCAGGCTTTGCCAACCCTTCCCTATGGGTTGCCCTGGCAACAATGTAGGAGTCATTTCGTATATATCACTATGTGACTATCAAACGTTAGAGCATAGCAAATGGAGCGCTTTCATTTTGCCCACTAAGCATATGGCGGAGAACTCCTCTGTCACGCTGGAGAAACTGGGTGATGTCGTTTACCGTTCTGCTGCTGCGATGCACGTCCGCCTTTTCGTTGTTAATGTATATGTACATGTTAATGTAGAAGTCACTTTTGAGTTTTGGAAAAGTAAAGCCTTGGATTGATTTGTCAAACTCTTCAAGCAGCATGTAACCTTTTAGAAACTGGTCAATCCTGCTTTTGGTTGCAGTGCTTTCTCCTGCCCTTGTTCTTGTTAATAAAATAAAGTTGGCTTAGCTTGTCCCAAATGTTTACCATTTATTCCACTGGCAACAAGAATCTAACCAGCCCAAAGTGTCTTTTCACCCATTACATCTTCTAGATGCTCCTTTACATACCTGGACTCTCTTCAGTATAACTAAATGCAGTAAAACTTAAAAAAGCATCACCTCACATTGTTTGTTAGATTTCTACCTCGCCTGCCCATCAGAAACTTGAATCAGTTGAGAATAAATTAACCAAACCCTGAGGACGGAAAAGAATACATGTAATATTATTAACCTGCATTGAAGTGAGACACATTAACTTCACTCCTAGCTGTCTTTTGACTTTAATTGTGTAAAGTTATCTATAAATGACTCAACTAGACTATTAAAGCTGTAAAGTGAATTAGATGATGAATAATTCTTGTGTGTGATTCTTGGAAAACTGCCCTATTAACCCAGGGCAGTTAGGCGTTGGTTAATTATTTGTGCTGTTAGACTCTTGGTTACCTCGTAAAGCTCTGACACACCCGCTGTACTTGAGTCTCTCTGCATGCCTCCCATTTTGATGTCCTTATGCTCACTAGAGTTACAACATACAAGTAGGAAGATGCTCTGAATTCCAGCCCTCCTTATCTGTGATGTTAATGTTTTTTCTGTGTGATTTGAACCTTCCTCTAAATGTTGTTCTGCTCCTCATCACACTCTTCACATCATCCCTGTGTGTTCCATGTGCATCAGACTGCTCCATTGTGTAGTTCATTGTGTGCTGTATCACCCAATCAGCTCTGTTTCCTCATGTGTCTTCCTTGAGCAACCACACAGCGTGTAATATCAACATGTTTGTTTGGCAGCCTTTACCTGGAATTCAACCTAACCAGTTACAGTCTATTTTGTAATGGATTCGTCATGAATCATTTCCTCCTTCTAATGAATAGGATGAATAACTTTTTGTTGTTTTTTTGTTTTTTTTTAATGTTTGATTTTCTCCTTCCAGGACCTGGAGGTATCCCGCCCAGAGGCCTGTTGGGTGATGGTCCTAATGATCCCAGAGGAGGGTCTCTTCTGTCGGTCACTGGAGAGGTCATGGACCCCGGGTAAGATGTTCACAGAAATCCTATTACCGTAATTATACACTACATCTAACTGTTACATCACTACCAAAAAAAGTGTCATTACTGTGCACGTGAAGCTCATGAATTCAGCTCAGGGATGGTAGACTCAAAACTATCGTGTGAAGAGGTTGCACTGAATGCACAACATCAAATTGCTGTTGAAGAACAAAAGCAGACCTAGAAATAGCATGAGGACCTGATCAAGACTGTCAGGAATATAGATTTTATTGTGTTAATTTAATTTTCATGTTGGTACATTGTTGTTGTTAGAATTTTTGTTTTTTTAATTCCAGGGTAGCTACACTTTAGCTGAAACTCTGGGAGATATTTACCGTTTCCAAATGTTTAAATTTTCTGTGTCTGTGTGTATGCAGCCGGCCTTACATGGGAGCTCCTCCACCTCACCAAGCCCCACCTGTACACATGGCCCAGATGGCAGGGGGACCCCCTCCAGATATGAGAGGACCTCAAATGGACATAAGAGGCCCCCCAATGGGTGAGCCTCGAAACATGATGGGTGACCCCAGAGGGCCCCCTATGATGGAGCCAAGGGGACCCCCCATGGAGACCAGAGGTAACTGCTCTAATAACTCATGAATTGAAAACCTGAGCTTTACTCTTACAAAGCTGAACATGTAACTGTGTTTGTAGCTTAGTTTGTAACAGATCTCCGTTCAGTTTCAGTCCCAGCCGGCAGAGAAACCAAATGTCACTGAAGCAAGTGTAATGACATTGTGAAATGTTTGTACGCAATATTTGTTATCACTATAAATGGAAAGATGGAAATGTGTGATTAAACCTTCCTTACTTTTTTTCTTTCTTTCTTTCTGCAGGGCGGGACCCAAGAGCGATGGACGCTCGCGGCCCAGTGACTGGGCAGAGGGTTCCCATGGCGACTGGAATGCCAGGCCCTGTTCCTCATAGCATGGGCCCCAACGCTCCTCCTCCTGCAAGACCGGTAACCGCTGCATCCGACATCTCTGACTTGAATTACATTTATTGAGTTTATTCCAAAGCAATTCACAATTAATGCATGCAACCTTTCAATAATCATCAATGTATTCATCAAATGAGAGTGCCACAATTAGACAAGAAGAATAGAGAGAGGTGTTTTTCTTGTATCTAGTTTAGAAATATATTTTTTCTCAAGAGAGCATCAAGCATCTAAATTTGAGTCTTGCCTACTTTGAATCATCAATTATAAGCATATAATTACCCATTCAATGTATCACTTAAAATTCTTAAGAGGACACATCACATCATCGTTACCCTGCTGATAAACAGAAAAATCTAACCGTGTGTTGGTTCTGCAGGGTCCTGGTATTTCGGGCGTTCCTCCATCTGGAGGAGGTTTCAGTCCTGGGCAGAGCCAGGTCTCTACACATGACCAGGAGAAGGTGGGTTTCTCTTCTTCTGCAAACTCTTTATTGAACAAACTGGACCTTGGGTCACTTTAAATGGATCTCTTTATGTCAAAAGAAACAAACAGCATTTCAATGCAGCTGTCAATCTGCAGGGAGATAAAAGTGCCTCTAAGCAAAACCACTCTGTCACTGATTGCAGTCATTATTTGCATGTGTGTCATGTATCACCCGAGGCAGAACAGCTTTTACGGCTACTGTAGAGATCGATTGACTTAAACAATAGCCAGTGATGTTCTAACACATTTTTAAGATTATCAGAGGGTTTAGGTTCCCTGTTACTAAAGAAAACCAGAGGAGATATCCATCTCGAAGTCAATTTAATTGATTGTTTTTTGGTTTTTTTGGGGTCTCTTTCTAGGCGGCCCTGATTATGCAGGTCCTGCAGCTGACCCCAGAACAGATCGCCATGTTGCCCCCAGAGCAGCGGCAGAGCATCCTTATCCTCAAAGAGCAGATTCAGAAGACTGCAGGAGGAGGACCTTGATGGTCTGACTGTGGAAAAGCCCTCAGAGAGCCTTTCAGGTAAGGAGAAAATGTTTTGTAATTTGATTCCATGTCAGACAATTTGAATGGATGAAAAAAAAAAAGTGATTTGAAAGAATTCTGTAATCTCTGTGTTTAACTTTCTTCTTTTACCAATTTTCAGGACAGACTGGTCCAACCTGTCACCGTCAGCTTGAACCGGTCTGAGGACGTCTCACTAGTTTGGATTCATGTATAGTTTTTTAAAAATCTGTTGTCCATTTCCTGTATGAGAGAGTAAAGTTTGTGCTTGTGGGTTCAAAATTTAGCTAAGCTGTTGAGCAGATGATGAACGCACTACAGTTCACTACTGGATTGTCAAAAGGCTTCTTTCTATTCCTCTAAAGTCAGTTGACTTCTTTTTCTTTTTTCACCTTTGGCTCCAGAAAGTGTCTTGATATTGTTTTGTCAATAAAATAAACATAAAAACACATCCATTGTAGTGATTTGTTTATTCAAATGAGGTTAGAATTATTTACAAGAAAAGGGCTTAAAAAAGTAAAAAAAAAAAATACCAGAAGAAAATAATACCCAGAAGTCCTTTCACTCCTTGAGAAGATGATTAACCTCTGCCTACGTGACCTCATCACTTTTTGTAATGGTGATGTTGTAAGGTAACAATAAATCACAGGTGGTTTCCAAGAAGCATGTTATCTTAGCAATTGAAGCCACAGGGGAAAAAACTGACAAAGATTACACTTTCACAATTTTGGAGCTAAAAAAATGTCAATGCAAAACTACATGACATATTCAACAACATAACAGTGATTTACAGTACAACACATTTTGTCTTTGGTCCATTCTTTTGTGGAAAACATTTACTCAAAGATGAAATATTCCTCCTCTCTCTCTCAAGAAAAAAAAGAAAAATGTGATAATGGCAACACTCTCGGTTGCAGTCCTTGGTGGGCTGCTGTAAGAAAGTATAAATTTGTCTTTAAGACAAAATATTAAATATCTGTTCTGTTCTGATTTCATTTCATTTGTTTTATTTAGTTGAATCTGTCTTTAGAAGTACAATGTGGTCAATCTTTTCACTGCAGCATATACAAAGAAAGAAAAAGTGCTGGGATTTATTTTTTCATGTTAAATCAACAAATTTATTATAGACACAAACTCCTGGAGATGCTGATCTCTGTGTAACAATATTTCAAAGCTTGTTCAAGTCTTAGGAACTAAAAAAAAAAGGCTACACAAGACATACAGATTAAAATTAACAGTACAACTAATCTAGCAACGTCACTGTGACTCCACGTTTAAACCATGAGTCATTGTGAATTATCAGCTCACGCTTATTTATGGTTTCATCATAGTCGGAAAAATCTGAATGAAGAAAGAAAGTCCCTGAGCAATGCTAGAAGAACAACATGTCATGCTTTTTTGTTTTGTCTTCTTTTGAATGAGTGCATTATAGTCAAGTGTTTCCAAACACACCCAGCTCGAGTCACAGGCTGTCAGGCTGCTTTGTGTTTGTGCTAAGATACTGCATGAAGGAAATTCCCCAACAAGGGGAGTCCTCCAAACTAAAAAATAAATCAACAAAAAAACTTTCGGCTTTGCTGTCGAATTTGTCTCAGAAGTTTTCCTTGTTGAAGTAAAATTTAGTCTTCCGAGGATCCACGTCTGAGTATTTGGCACATTTCTTTTCCAAAACTTTAGCCAGAGCAGCAGGGCCACATAAGAAAGTGCCAACCACAGACCTGCAAAGAAAAATAAATACAACATATTTTAGGTTAAATAATTCTACACATTATTCAATCCTTTTACAGGTAAGCTAGAGACACTAGACTTTCAACCATGCTAGCAGGCACTTCACTAAAACACACCCTAGTTTAGGTAGCTACACCTTTGAAAACATCAGTTCAGGGGTGGGCAACTGGCGGCCCGGGGTCCACATGCAGCCCCCATCAACCCTCAACGTGGCCCTCAGGTCAATTTTTACATTGAAAACATGACAAAATCTGCCATGAAATCATGAAAACCAGAAATATGTCCATAATATTTGATCACTGGTATATGTTGAGTTAAATTTGAGACATTATTGACTGTAATCGTTTTTGCATGCTACAATTTGGCCCTCTGGCAGTGAGAATTAAATGAATGTGGCCCTTGCTGTGAACGAAGTTACCCATCCCTGGTTTAGTTAAAGTTAAACAGAAACCAGGTCAACAAGATTATCGAATCTCCTGCTACATGTAATTAAAAAAAGATTGCTCACCGTGCTGTCAGTGGGGCTGTACCAAGACAGCTTACTTAAGCTAGCTAAATCTTGAAAACAGTCACGAAAAAAAGAAGCTTTGTGCAAAGTTTGTTTGAATGGGGTTAAGATTTACATAAAAAAAAAAAAGGATTCAATCCTCTGGTAAAAGGAAGTAAACCACTTTAAGCTACATATTCAAGCTAATTCAACTCTTAACACAACATGCTAATGTGCTTACAGTGACAATGCTAAAGCGCTGAACTAATTGTTGTTAAGGTGATGTTTCATGAGAAATTAAAGCTGAGGAATGTCATTGATGTTGCAAGTTTTTTGGTCATAAAATTAACTGAGGGGGGTGCAAGTATAAAGGTGGGCAGAAATAAAATTAATGCAATTCATCCTGAGGGGGGAAATAAACAGAAATAAACTTCTGGATGAAGTTTCAATCATGTCAATCAGGCAATCAATCTAATAGCTCTGAACAAATATTACCCATAACCCCAAATGGAGGTGCTATAGGAGTAGGGGTCAACAAATTTGGTCGGCATTAATTATTTGGGACCATGCATTTCTTGACTAAATATCACAGCTTGCATCTTGTACTTTTCCTTAAAAATCTCAAATGTGGAGCTCATGAAAGTTACGGCGGGAAAGTCAGTCAGGCCTCAATTCTTTGAGGACCACCAATTTCTGAACCAAATTCCAGGGCAGCTCACCAAACAGTTGTTGAGATTTTTTAGCCTGGACTAAAAAGGGGTGAAATAAAAATGAATAAGCTAATAAAACTCCTTCAGGACTTTAACTTACGTGGGGTTCTCTTTACGGACTTGTTCAAACTCCTTGTCCCAGGCGGGTCTGCCATATTGCGTTTTCTGTTTGAGCCCAGTGACCACATCTGTGTTCTCGTCGAAGTGAACCCACGCATGATGAGCCTGCGACAGAATGTGGGGGGGGGGAGAAGGGAAAACACACGAGTTTTAGATGAAACAAGCTCTTTCAGTTTATCTGAACTTTGGACTATGACTCGAGACGACGGATTAACACTCTCATACATGGCTTTGATCCCAGCCGGTCAGAAAGAGTTTGTAGGTGAGGAAATCAGCCATTCCTCTCTCCTCCATCTCCCTCTCCAGCACCTGAAGAAGGTCAGCGAACCATTCAAAGGCTTGTGTCTCCCGGCAGAGCCAATAGAAGTATATCTGAAACCAGGAAGCAGATGCAGTCGATTTGAACAATGATCCTTTTACGGAAGAGCTGCAGATGACTCGTCCTCTAACATTGCTGTGTTGTGAAATCACACATTGTTCTTTATTTCAGGGACAATAACAGGTCCTTTGTCAGAGTAGTGACATTGATTTAAAGGTTTAAATGTAAAAAACAGGCTGATTGTGAAACTGTGTGGACGTTTGAATGTTACCTTTCTGGTGCGTAGTTTAGGGTTGGAGTCTTTGAACTTATACCAGATAGACTTGAGGATGGAGGCAAAGGGAGTGACTCCAATGCCGGCACCGACCAGCATGCTGACCTCATAGTCGAATACATCCTCACTGGCTGTGCCGAAGGGTCCGTCCACTCCCATTCTGCAGAAAAACAATACAGACATTGTGTTATTAGGACAAATAAGTTACAGCCGACAAACAAAACATGAACAAGTTTTAAAAGCTACAACTGCAGTCACTGAACATTTATATTTTAAAAGATCAGTCTGGGTTAGATTGTGTTTGTTTTTTTTATGCAATTCCACTTACGGTTAAACGTTATTACACAATTTGTACCATTAGCTTCAAAGCGACATAGTGTAACTTCCTGTAACTTCCTGTGTCACTGACAATCATTTAGAAAGTTGAATGATAACTATTTTTAAATCTTAAGACGATATGCTTAAGATGCAAAATCCCATTAGGCCTATTTAAAATGAAACACTCACTTTGGTCCCTGTGCTCCCTCTGGCAGCTGCTGCATGATGCTGATGAGTTTGTCTGTCCAGTCCCCGGCCGAGCGGATGTGGACGCTGAAGAAGTCCTCCTCGGGGGCAGAAGTCATGGTGAACGGGTGCCACTCTAGCTGGGAGATGGCCGGGCAGTTGAGGAAGACATACTGACCCACCTCCATATTGAATCCGTTCTTCACCAGCTGCAGCTCCAGCACCTTCGACGGCCTCATCACGATCTAAAGAGCAAATCCAGCGGATTAAAGGTGAGTTAACATAACCTGCCGAGCAAGTCGTATACAAAAGATGAATCACGAATCAAACGTACCTTTCTGTAACTGACAGTCTGCATATAGCGAATAAAACGCAGCAGACGTTCACAAATGTACAGAATCATGGGGCCGATCACATACATCCAGGTCTGGAACAGACAGAATATACAGACAATTAAGTACACTTTTATTTATACAAGAAGCTGTAGTGAAGTAGTAGTTTAAATAAACATTTAACAGCTATACATTTTCCTGAGTATAAATATAAAAGAAGACAAACCTGTGGAAATCCTCCAGCAAACTGCGGGATGGGACACTCAGCAATCTGGCCCCACTGGTCACTGCGGTCCTTACAGTAGGTGAAGTTGTGTGGAGGAATTGTTGCCTGTTGGCTCCTCACAATGCGTCTGAACATGACAAACACAAGTTAAACCTGTCGGCCCTTTGATTCAACACAAACGTTCCATGCAAGATAAAGCTGATTCCTTATACCCTGCTCCATGGAAGACGAGACCAATGAAGAAGATGATGAAGAGGTGGTGGGTGTACCAGAAGACCTCGAAGTAGCTGCGTCTGATGAACTCCATGGAGGAGGTGATGATGAGGATGAGGGCCAGAGTGATGATGACGCCTGTGATGCCAGCGATGGTGGTGAAGACAAGGTAGGTCGGACTCTGCTGGGCATCCTGAAACACAGGGAAGAAGGAGCAGATAGTGACAATTTAGACGCGAGAGATGAAGGACAATGATTTAAAAGATAGAGCACTGGAGCTGATGGAGTTGGCGGGGGTCCTGAGTCTGGACCAGTTGAGAACCACTACTCCAACTTCCATTAAGTTAGACAAAAAGCATGAGAACAGCCCACATCCAGTTCTCCATATGTCACTGTGATACTTTGACTGAATTAAGTTGAAAAGACTTACGACATTTAAAGAGCGGATTGGGTTCAGGTAGGTGGTGTTGTCTGTGTCTTCCAGGTCGGACAGAGCCGTGCTGAGTTTGTCGTAAACTCCTCGTCTGCTGTTGTTGTACCACTCCACGTTCAACAAGTGGGCGATTAAATGAACGGCTATCAGCACACACACAGGAGACAGGTTACCACTGCAGGTTTACCACATTTTTTATTCATACTAACTACAAGGGTATGCAAACTGGGGAAAACAACTGCTGATTTCAATTCAAATATTTTCACATGATAGTTTAAAAAACAACAACTGTGTAATACTGTTTCAATTTTTTTGAAAAATGTAAGATTTAAACATCTGCAGTGGCTGCACTAGAGGTCAATATATATATATATAAAAATATGTCTGATCTTGAAAGAATGAAGAAGAACTCTTTTAAATCCACTATTGGTAAATATTTATTTTAGACTTAGTTTACGTCCCTCTCCTCTTTCCATTCCCTGACATGACATGTTAATCTCTGACCTCTGCACTTGTCTGTCTGTCTGTCTGTCTGTCTCTTTTCACGTTTTTAGCGGAAGGAGGAAGTACTCTGGGTTGGCAGAAACATTTTATGTTCCACTGAACCATCAGGAAGGAGTGATAACTTTATCCTCCTTCAAAAACTTATCTAAAAACACTGATAAGCGTCAGGTCAGACTAGTTTGCAGAATGTGTAAAATAAATTATAATACATACTGTATACTGGAACCATGTACAGCAAGCACACCATTTCAAGGCTTAAATAAGATGATGTCACATTACTTTAATTGATTCCTTCTTTTCTTTATTCTGTCTTAAACACCCCTCACCCTCACACCTATAACACTGGTCAATTATGAACTCCGGGTGTGAACATAGCGAATTACAAATGTTCAAATTACTGTAATTAAGTCGTTTTTTGGGTACTTGTACTTCTATGAGTAGATTTCAAGTCTGTACTTAAGTACTCATTACATGATGTGATCTACTTAATTACTTTTAAAATCAAAATGGAGTACTGAATGCAATTTGAATTAAAGTTGTATTGTGTAATAATCATGGGGATTTGCTGTCAGAGAGGTGGATTATATGTCTTTTGGAGAATCTTTTTATTGGCTAAAATCCCCTGAGAAAAAGAATAGTTGTGTTTTTGTTACCTATAAGAATGAGAACTTTTATCTACAGAGGGAGAATGTCTACTGTGTGGCACCACCTTGTTTCTAAAGTCGCCCAGAGCGCACAAAGCAAACACTGGCTCTAGACAAAGCCTTTGCAGTTTGGGAAAATTTCACAGCCACTGCAGGTTCCCCTCCACGCTTGGAATGAAAAGATGCAGAGACATGTATGCAACATGTGATTAACTCTGTGAAATGTTTCATGGGACATGAACCTCAGTCTCCTGAGTGAAGTCCATCAAACCACCTCCAGCTCCTCCACCTGTGGACTTTCTCACTCTTTATACTACGCCAACAGCCCGGGCAGTGTCATACAGTCACAATGGTTTTACATTGAAGTTCCTTAAAAAGCCCCCTGCGTTACATTCAGACTTGAATGAGTACCGTCTGTATGAGTTGCTAAGGGGTGATGACAAATTGTTGATATGTGAAATTGTGTGAAAAGTGTGAATTTGAGAAGACTGCTTTCTACTTTTATTTCAGTAGTTTCCTAGACCATTACCTCAACTTGTAACTGAGTAAAATTTGAGGAATCTAACAGTTTTTGTTCTTGAGTAACTATTTTCAGAACTCTTTACACCTCTGGCTCTGACATGAAACTCCAACCTCAACTGAGGTCATTGGCATTTCAGCATAGCGCAGGTGAACCACAACCATCACAGAACAATAGCTGAGAGTGAAAGAGGTGAGTTCACCTGTCATCAGAGCGATCATGTAAGCCACCAACTTGTGGAAACTCAGATTTTTGTCCAGCTGTTTCCTCATTGTTCTGCCGCAACACTGAAAAGATAACAAACAACAGAAAGAGAAAATGTGACACACGGGCAAACGAGTTCTTTTCAAGGCTGTGACAGAGAGTTTCCTAACATGAGTCTATTTCGAGAGGAGGGGGCCGCATGTAAGGGGCAGGGTGCAGATATGGAAAGACAAATTGTAATATTTTTGGGCCATAGCATACACATGCAGCAACTATATTACTCACCTGTATAACTGGTTGTTTATATGGGGAAAACACACTATATCACCCTAAAAAAAGTTAAATTTTGGGAACAATTAGTTATAAGAACAACAATGTCCCATTTTTTAGAGATTATTTTTTGGGAGTTGCCTTACAGCACCAAACAGCATCTGGATCAGAAGTCCAGCCTGCAACCATTGTGAGGTCTGTAGCCTCTGCATATTGGACCCCTATACCGGCCCCCTATTGGTAAAGCATTATTGAAGCAGACAAATAGTTTAGAAGCAAAGAATATAAAAAAGAAATGCTGGAGAACAATACAAACTCGTAAAAAGTGATGGAAAATGGGATTAAAAGGCACAAAAAAAAAGAAGGCAAATGATGGCTAGTGGGAAAACGTTTCATGTGAAACTATCACAGATGAGTTACCTGCTCGTGCAGCAGTCAAACTAGTTTCTATTATTTGCATGCAAATACTCCACCTTAAAAGGATAATTGGCATGTATAGAGAGCACCTCGCCCTGTTTGGAAACGTGAGCATCACAATCTTACCACGAAGGAGCCGCGCAGCAGAGACAGCAGGTTTCTGCACACCGGCAGCAGGATCAGCAAGCAGTTAAAGTTGAGGACAGCAGCGGGAGCTCTGGCCCAGGGCAAGGCAGCCTGAAACATTTTTTTATATTCACATGAGTTTAAATGAGATTAAAGTTTCCGAGAAAACGTCAAGCTGACTTCCACGCTCTTTCTTACCCCTAAAAGATGACGCGTGTAATAGTATTCATCGTTCAAATCGTACAGGAGGTAAAACCGGACGAAGAGGAAGATGTTGATGCCCATCCAGACCACCTGCAAAACACGACAAGAAACATTTCCCCGTCACCGCATGGCTCTTTCATTAAACAAGTCATCATAATAAGTCTCATTTGATATGCTCCATATATCTTTAAAAAAAAAAAGAAATGCTCAATGTTCTCTTATAATTCGTTTGTTTTACACTTTGTTATAGTAGTCCTGATGTCTTGTGTGAATCAATTGGAATAGCCTTGCTGCTAAAATGTGCTACTAACAAACTTGAACAGCCTCGCCGATTTGGGTTGAAAACGCACGTTTACGCATTTATGGTTCGGTTTCTACGCACAACACCTGTACGTAAATCTTACCCTCACCGTTATAAATTCCTACTGATATTAACATTTATCAACGTCAAACACTCACCAATATAAAGGCAGTAAGTCCATTGTTGATAATCCAGTTTGCCATGCTGATGACTTTATCTCGACCCGCAGCAATTTCCCTGCATTTTCCAGCTTTGCAACTCCTTTAAAAGCCTCCTGTCCGGGGCTCCTCCCTCCTCTGCAGGTGACTCAATACACAAGGAAACAAAAACCTGGCGGCTTACGAAATGTCTCTGTTGATAAAAGTTTATAGAAGAGGTTTCCCTCTTGTAGTTGAATGACCACATTCCCTGCTCGCCGGAGAAAACAAGTGTGGACGTACAGGAATGAGGAAGTTTCACCATGCGGGAAATTTTACTCTGCTGGAAGTTGAGGCAATAATTGGAAGCGTACAGTTTTATTGTGTGTAAAAAGAAGGAGTGAGGAGTCATGTTTTATTTTTATTCATGAAAAGGTAAACTAAATAACATGAGGACATTCAATTCTTTTATGTATCTTTCAAGTAAACAGCAGTAGTCAAGGCACACAAACAAACGAGACAACACATTAAAACCTGTGAGAGCACTTTGATAAAGTTCATTCAGTGGCAGTTTGGTCGATGCATCATCAACTTTAAGGTTAACTATGAAAGACAAACACCTGATAGTCTGAACCAGGACCTTCTTAAAAAAAAAAAAAAAATCAAAAAAAAAAATCAAGGCAGTCAGGCTGGACAGCGAACAACACAAGGCATTCATCACAGCAGGTCAGGGTATGAGGAAGATCAATTCTTTTTCTGACCTTTTCTCCCCTTCCTGCTTTGTTTAAAAGGAGTCTGTTTAGCGCTGATGCAAGCATGTGCAAAGGGGAGGGGGGGGGGTAAGGGGAGGGTAACCCTGAGAGGAGGAATACTGGGGGAGTCCTGCTCAGTCTTTCAAGACTCTTCGGACACACTTGGCACGTCTCCCTGCACACCTGGCTCAGTCCTCCTGAGCATGACCCCACTGCTGCTCTCTCTTAAGCTGGTCTTTGTGCATGGCTGCATATCTCAGCATGCTACATTCTTTTCGCATTCTGGGGCCCCGTGTTGCCCTGACTGTGTGTTATCATGCTCCATAAAGACATCAGTAAGGACCTAAATCCAGTTCAGAACCAAAAATGTGTAAAGTTCTGCGCACTCAGGAGTAAAAATGCAAATCTTGGTTTTCATCATTTCATCATCAATTCATCATTTTGCTATCTCTGAAACACAAGGACGCCGTGGTTCGTGTGTTTAAAGACTCGTTCAGTGTTGCAACCAGCTTGGATGCACTTTTACATCAGAGCATTCAGTTAGTTTTATTCTCCATTAAGCCATCTTCACGCTGCTTCCATTATATCTTCAATAATAGCAGTCTCCCGCTCTCCCAGCTGACTGGTGAGGTCTGGGGGTTCGGAGTTTCTGGGGTCCAGCAGCTCCAGCGGCTCCTCCGGCACCAGCACCATAGTGCCCGTGGTCGAGTATGTGGGCTGTGGCTTTCGTTGTCTCCCCCCAGCCCCCTCCCTCCCTTTATGGCAGCAGACGCAGTGCAGGCAGTCGTGGACATTGTACTTGAAGAGGCGTCTGCAGGGGTGGCAGAACTGGTAGAAGAGCAGCATGAAGATCACGGCCAGGCTGTAGCCGATCAGCAGCTGCACCACCAGCAGCGGCGCACACACGTACTCGTAGAAGTCTGATTTGAATAAGTACCACAGCAGGATGAGGAGGAAGTTCTCCACAAAGCGCCCGCAGTAATAGAGAGCAAGGCGGCCCCAGTGCTGTTCCCTTTCGATGAGCTCCTTGTGTGTGAGGTCGAGCTGCACGGCCGACCAGCAGAAGACGTTGATGCAGGCGTAGAGCAGCGTGAACATGCACAGCACCACCGTAGTGCCCAGCTTGGAGAAGTTTTTCTCGACATCCTCCGTCAGCGAACCTTTTCTGGCCCAGAACTCGGTCCAGGGGAGGAAGAAGAAGAAGAGCAGGTTGACAAAGCCGACGAGGATCACCCACTCCGTGAGCGCCGTGCTGAAGAGGACGAGAGCTGTGATGCGCGTGGCGATCTCCAGGCCCCTCCACGCGATCATGCACAGGTACGCTGCAGGGCGCAGACGCACCTTGTATTCATCGTATCTGATCTGGATGGCCAGAACGCTGCACACAAGAGCCCCGTATGTGATGGAGATCAGGGTGATGATCATCAGGGCCACTGTGAAAACGAAACACAAGTGAACCGTCACAAAAAACATCCACATCGAAGTCCCATTGAAACTCGTCACTTTGATTGACGCTCTCAAGCTCGGAGAAGGCTTTGCATCCTGAACATGAAGTCCTCATTATTCAAAACAGAATATCTCCAGTGTTTCTTATATAAATCAAACATCAGTCTCTTTAAAAAATACATCTATTGTAACGCAGTGGTATGGAAATGTTTTAGAATGCATTTCTTAAAAACACACCATCAATACATCATTGAAGTATGTTACAATCATTACTTTATGGCATCACTTTTCCTCTAGGGGCATCTTCATGTCATATTACACTATACTGGAGACACTCCCGACAAAGCATCAACTGTACTGTGTTGACTGCTTAACTTGCAAGGCGTCCATGCTAACTCACTAAACTTTGATCATTAACACTGTAAACATTACAGAGTAGCATGCTACCATGCTGGATTAGCATTTACAGTGATGCTAGCAATGCTGAATACACTTAGTTGTAAGCCAATGGAAAGCTTGAATTTTTTTTCCTACTCGTATTTTAGATTGCTATCACTGAGCACTCCTCTTAAAAAAAAAAAAAAAAAAAAGGACTCATCTGCTTTAACATTCACTCATTTTGGTATTAACTTTTGATTTGACCTGTACAGTATTAACTCTCCAGGATGAGTCGCAGTCCTGAAGAGCTTCTAACCTCAAAAAGGTATTTCAACATAGCTAAGTTTGAAAGTAAGGATGCAACAGTGTGAACATGTTTCAAGATCTCCACGTGGGTTGCATGAACCGCTAACCCCTCTCACATGCTTACATCTTGCAGGGAGGAAGTATTTCTCCTGGATGGTGGCGTACAGCTGCAGCGTCAGTTGAGGCGTGGAGCCCAGAAAAGCCTGGATGACCGCCGTACGCTTGAAGGCGTTCCTATGTGTGGCCAGGGTCCTCTCCGATTGGCCAATTTCCAACTCCATAGGCAACCCCTGTCCCTTCTTCAGCTGGATCTTCCTGGAGATGGTGACGTAAGGCTCCTCCCTGTGCCCGGCCTTGAAATAGACCACCAGAGCCTCGAAACACCTGGGGAGGAAAGAAGAGGAGTGACTGAGAGTGAAGTTACATTTAAACACCAACAGAGGGCAGTGCAATGCCAGGTTTGAGTAACTATAATAGGGATTATATGTTTTCTGCTTTTATATCAAAATGTATTAATCATGGTGTGAATATGTGAAGCAATATGTAGCGATCAAAGCAATAAAGTAAAAAAAATATATAAAATAAAATAAGAAAAGTATCAGGGGTGACATCTCTGAAATCTGTTGATTCAGCCTGATTTCAATGCAGTTAATTAGATTGGTGTTAAAGTTACAGGCACAATATGATCTCAGAAATGTTCTACCTTTAAGAGAGCCGTCGTAAAGAGCCTTTATTTATAAATCACCGTTCAGCAAACAGGAGCACAACCCTCACCAGCCACCAGAGGGCAGCCACAAACACATGAAACACAGATCCCTGAGGCCTTAATGCACACTGTGAAAAACTCTGGGTGTGGTTCTTTTAAATGTTTGCAAGGTAAATGCTCCCCGTGTCCGGTCACCGGCGAAGAAATAAACACTATTCATAAAGATGGAAACATGTTTTTTTTTTTCTGTAAGCAGTTTCTGTGTAAGAAGTGTGTGACTGCTTCCTCCAAAGGGAAGTGTCTGAATATTTCAGGGGGGGATTAAAGGGGATTTGTGGCTAATCTAAGTTTTTCTACATTCAAATGATAACTGGAGTGTTCCCTGACTGTAAGCCAAAATGACACAAAAGGACAGCCAAATAATGTCAGAGCCATATACAGTAATCAAGTTGCAACACGAATGCTACCTTAACTGGAAGTGCAAGGTTTCCACCTGCCGACAAACAACATGTCGGCATGTTAATCCCTGAATGATACTTGTGAAATGACCCACACTGCTGCACATCTGGGCTTCACAAAAAAACACAAACCCCACCCTCTCTGAGGATTCCCACCCCAGCTCTAAAACTCACGTCACCGCGCTGGAATGTTAACTTTTCCTCTGAAATCTCCGACTTTAACACGGACAGAATCAAGACTCCCACATAAATCCACTCCTTTGCTGTATGACTGTGTGCAGCTCTGACACTCAGGTGTCGGCGGCGGTCTGACATTTTCACAGTCTGTAGCTTCAGCTGCTGCTAGCGGGCGAAACTGTGCACTTTACTGATAGTGCAAACAGGGCACAGTGCCAGGCGTCCACACATGCCCCTGAACTGTGTTTGACCCAATGTTGGAGCCTGGCTGGGGGAATGTTGTCGTTACTTGGACACACACTCCTATCTAAAGACCAGCACACACTATATTTATTTCTGTCTACATTACAGTTATAGCACAAAAAAAAACCTGATTAACTGACATCCTTTCCACAGAAATCTGGCAGCACAACAGGCTGAGGAGGCAGTAAGAACTGGAGCCAGCGTGCACTTAGGATTCTGTAAAGCAACCGAGAGGCAGACTGAATTTCACTTAGAGGGAAAGGAAAAGCAGCGCCGATGAATGCATTAGCCGAGAGAATCGATATGTGCTGACTTCCAAGGCATCAGCTTATGGATATTTAAAAAAAAAAAAAAAAAAACACACTGGTTTCTGCTCTGTATTTGCAGTCTAAACATGCAATCTGCTCACCTCAAAGTGTGTGAACACAGCAGTGTGGTGCAACAATTGACACAGGAAAGAAAAGGAACGGCCTTTAAAAAGCAATTCAAAACAAAGTCAGTTCTTCTCTGGCAACTCTAATACTGAAACCTTCAGAGTGACGGGCAGCAGACTGAGCAGAGCATTCAGGAAATTCTTCCAATAGCTCTTTAGCAAGATGAGATGGTTTTGGTCACCTGAGGCTCATCGCGCTCGCTAACAGATAGGTCTTGAGGAGTTTTACCTAA